AATAGAGTTTGATGAAAACACAGAGTACCCCAAGGATCAATTTTCACCACGGGCAGCTGCAGCACGAGGCTTTAATTCTTCACCCTCTCTGGTGACAGGAGAAACGCGGGGAGCTGTAGGCACAAATAACGTTAGACTTCTAGTGTGTATTTTGCTTTTCATGCCTGCAATTAAACGCTTGCTTTACTTCCTGTTGTTTAAAACTGTATTTATTCTTTAGCACTGCAAGAAAAACCTCCTGTATTTTTTTTAATTTGCACTGGGGACACGTTTGAAGGCCCATATTGTAGACTCAGCAAGTGGCAGGGCAGCCGCCAAACCTTGCTTCCTTTGTTGATTTCTTGATGATTTAAGACCTATTTTCAGCAGCTGATCCCAGTTTCCCCCCTGCCTTTTTGCTTGGTAACTACCATTTTAACAAAATGGTGTTTGTGCAGTGCCTCGGAACCAAGAATTGAGCTTTTAAATGTAAGACAGGGAATAGAATAGGAAAAGCAGCACTAAAATCACCTACGCGCCATGGCTTTTCAAGCCACATGCTTAGAAATATATGGCAGAACCCTTGAGTTCTTGTAGAATATTAGACTGCTAGTCTTATTTCTTACATAGCTAAAATTACTTGCATGTTTCCGATACTTGTTTATATTTGTTTCTGATATGTTGTTTACCTTCCCCCAGCACAAAGTTTGAAATTATTCTCTGAACCTACAGAATTCAGTTAAAAAAAAAAAAATTACCAAAAGCTGTACTGTTGATGTACATTTTTCAGACTTTTACTGGCTTTGCCCATTGGGACAAACCCTATTGTTTCAAAGTACAAACAGGAAAAGATATAGCCTGATCAATGGTTTATTTAGGTGCAGGCTTCCTTCAGAAAAGGAGAATACACTTTCCCCCTGCTGATGCTAAGATGCAAATTAAACTAAGATTTGGTACAAAAAAATGTATCGAATGCCATCAGCATGATTATCCTCTCTCTTCTGGGTAACAACAGAGTATTTTCTCAGAATTATTCTGTTGTGGAGAATATAATACTTAGCTTAATAAATAAACACCAGTTTCCACAGTAAGACCAATTATTTTTATATCAAATCATTCTGTATTTAACGTAGGTCCATACGATGCCGGCACACACTTGGGACAACTACTGGTTGCCTCATTAAAACATAAACCTCAAAGTTGCTAAAAATAGCAGTAACTAGTAAGGATGAAACAAAATTGTCGCAGAACATTACAGACACCTGAAAATAAAAACTGCAAAGGAGATGACTTAAGGGATTTTCAGTAACATTTAAAAAGTAAGAAACAGTGTAACCTTTAGGTTTAATGAGCGTTACAATACATCAATTACAGAGACATAAGTAATTTAAGGGAAGAGCATTCACTGGCAGTCAAGTTTGGTCACAGGCTTCATTTGCTTCACAGGGCAGGGGCAGCACCCTGTAATTAACAGTCATGGTCAGAAGCCGTGTCTAAAGCTTGTTACCTTCTCGCAGCACGCCTTTCTCACAAAGCCAGAAAGGTGAGAAACTCCCCTTCTCCACTAACAGAGGACACTTCATCTCCATGTATCGCTGCTGCATAGACGTGGTATTAGAAACCTATCTCAGACCTGCAGGGGTGACCCTCACGTGCTTCTCCGGTTGCTGAGGGTACTGGCATAGGAGTAGGAGGATGTCCAAGCAGCAGTCCCTACTCAACACACAAAGGTTTTTGACCTTTGCTACACTCCCAGCCTTGTATTAGGAGGCACTGCTTGAGAGAGACTAACCAAACCTATTCCCCTCTTCCCTAGGTAAGAAGTCTCTTTATGTAAAACCATCTGAAGTAAGACTTAAGGTACGGCACCTCCTTGCTAAATCTCATCTCCCAACTGATTCAGCACAGATGCTTATTGCCGCAAGTGCCAGACAGGATGAGAGGAAGGAAACACACATAGAAACATTCCTAGTGAGGGTCTAACAACGCGTAGGAGATCCGTGCTAATTCTAGCAATGATTTCTTCTCAAAAACTGAGTCAAGTCTACTTCATGTATGAATGGGAGGATGTTCAAGGACATGGATGATATTGAAAACGTTGCTGATTCAGCAAACGAAATGTGCTGATCAACGAAGTGATGACCAGCACGACAGAAAGATCAATGAAGGCCAAACTATGTATGATATAGTTAACTTTTATTTATTCTTCCAGCTGTTTGTCCAGTCTTTCCAGCAAGTTCACAAAAAGTTAACTTTGAATCCGAAAGATTTGGTATTACTTCTAGCACAGTGGATTACATATGCAGATGAATAAAGGCTTGACTGTAAGTTTGCACTTTAAGGACCTTTGGAAAATTTTGCATTAATGAGGCTTAGTAACTAGAGACTTACTGCATTCTTTCAATCAAAATTATGACAGAGTAGAATTTAAGCTTTTCAGTATGTTCGTAACATTGCTATTTTTCTCCTATGTTTTGTGGTTCTCATTAACCAAAGAAACTAGCCCAAGTCTGACTGCTCATTTTGGTTGCATATATCACATAATAGAAAAGAAAGCACTGAAAGTCTCATCGCCATTAAACTGGCCACAAAGGATATGATCATAAAACAGGAGATAACAGAAGTAACTCCAACTTACTGGATTACAACTTTTGGGCTAACTTAAACGCCTTCAACACATACTCGATTTGATATAAAATTGTTCAAACTAACTCTCTTTTCTGATGCAGTATTTATATGGAATTCTTCTGGAGAGAAGAGTTCACTCATTTCCATGTTTTTCCTCCCAATACCCCATTTGTAGTGCTAACACCCCCAATCCATTCTTCTGAGAACTATCAGGAAGGACTCCATAAAATACTGTGCAGGTCAAAGACTGCAGGGTGGCTTTAAAATAAAGAAAATGTTCATTAAGTGTAAGAAAAATGCCTTTTCTTCTAATCTGAAAATTGATAGGCTTGCAGACTTTATCTTAAACACAAACAGTTCAGCTTCTCAATTTTTCTACCTTTTTCTTTTTTTTTTTTTTTTTTTGAAAATACTACCAGTTGTAGCATGACGTAAAATTACACTGTTTGTTTCCAAATGTGCTAGTGAAAAGTTGCTGAAACTATTGAATTCATCAGAAGGAATTGCTGGTTTAGGCTTTTTACATCCTCAAAGTCCTTTCTTACATGGCTTCTAAAACTCTTAGTCCTTTAATAATAAAGCAGTCCTTCGTCCAAAATTACTAGGACTGAGATGAAGGATGTATTTTTGGTTGAAAATGCATACTAATTCTGAAGAGTGGACCTCCTTTTGAAACGTTTTGCGATTGCTAGCCTTCGAATCATGGTAACTTCTGAAAAGATTAAAAAAAAATACTGGTGCCACTTGGACAATCAGGTATATAAAGGAAACACTGTTCATAAGGCAATCAGTACAACACTGAATCAAACACAAGATTATAAAATGTAAGATTCCAGGAATCTACTGATGCAACTTGAGGGTTTAGTTTTTACCTTCTGAAGATGCTACAGATTGTTCCTATCAGATTTTGAACACTATAACAACAAATGTCTTTCATTAGCCATCCTCCTTCTACCTAAGCTAACTCATTCACAAGAGTTAGCTTATTTGTGAATATGTGTGTGTGGCTTTGACTTTCACCTGAAGAAATGCAGATGCGAGACCATCCCAGTTTAGCAAACAATGCCTGTTTTCAGTCATTTCAGGTTGTTCAGTTACAGTTTTGCTGTTCACATAAAACCATTACCCTCTGCATCTGCTGTAAGTCTTGGTTTGCAAGCAAAAGCCTAATGCAGTGCTTCCACGGAGGGAATTCAGGCTCAGACCTTTGGAGCCATTTACAGCCCGCAGATAATGCAGCGAGAGTCACAAGGGGGAGGGTCACAGGACAGAATATGCCCCCTCCTCCGTAGATTTGCAATAAGGCTTCTGACTTTGTTTGGAGCTGAATTTCCAGCCAAGAACTTCAGTACTAAACATAAACTAAAATTTTGCCTATAAACTAGCTAAAAATACCTGTAGTTTCTAGAGGCGAATTATTTGCATAATTCTTAATTATTAAGCTTCACTGCTCAAAACCCATCTACATTTCCTAGGTGGACATTCCCCTGGAAAGCACTATTTTTAATGTAGAACAACAAGTTTTAGAAAGGGTAGGAGAATGCTGCTGATCAAGTAGTTTGATGAGACTTCATTGCATAAGCAGATAGTGGTGCTATAGTGAATAATTTCAAATTAAATGTTTCCAGTGCCACTGTATCATCTGCATACTATTCATTTAGTTCCTTATATTTAGCAGAAGTAGGGCATATTTTCCATATGCCATTTATAAGCAACATACACTGTTAATTTTATTCCTTACTGGAAAGTACCCTGGTCTATTTACAAATTAATTTGGGAAGTGACATCGTGACAGTTAGCCCCAACTGGTGCGCCTGACACAAGCATGAAAGAAAGGATGAATAGGTGGGATTTTGCATTTGGCATTGCAGAATTAGGGGAGGTAATGTTTCCAGTTATATACACTTAAAATTATTTCTGAGAAGACATGTTGAACTTAAGCATTAAGCTAAATACCTATTGCCCTACATTATTTCATCAGTCATTTTCCAAGACATCATTCATTCCTTTGTTGAAAGTTTACTTCTTAGCAGTATTTATCTTACTTGGAAAAATTACAGGTCTATGAAAGAGCTTTAGTTTGTTATACTGATTTATATAACTAGTTCCTTGAGCATTGGTACTAAAGAAGTAGAACTTCTTCGTAATGGCAAGGGGAGTTCATTAGAAAAACACCAAAATTGTACAACTGGAAATAAAAACAAAGCATAAAATAGCATTTATATAAGATGAGTTTTCAACTGAAATATTAAAAAAAACCCTCCAACACCCTGCTATATTAATATCAGACCAACCTGAAAGGCACTGAGAATTGAACTGTGCAACTCATATCCATACCTGTGAGAATAACAACCACAGTGAGATCCAAGCCTCCAAGGCAGAATACAACTGGAAATAAAAACAAAGCATAAAATAGCATTTATATAAGATGAGTTTTCAACTGAAATATTAAAAAAAACCCTCCAACACCCTGCTATATTAATATCAGACCAACCTGAAAGGCACTGAGAATTGAACTGTGCAACTCATATCCATACCTGTGAGAATAACAACCACAGTGAGATCCAAGCCTCCAAGGCAGAATATGGCACTGTACAGTCCATTAGGCCTTCATGGTAAATACGGACATACGGTAATTTTATATTTTCTTAGGATAAGCTGGAAATGTTAACTAAATATACAAATTACGTAGTATTTCCATGGGAAAAAAAAAAAATCCAATTTACACCATCTAAAGACAAGGAAACAAGGCATAACATACAGGACATTGTTGGCACAAGAAAATGTTATCACATCAAAACACGCTCTTTTAAATTTAATCCAGTGGATATATAAAGGAATGGTGGTGGCAGAGGCAAAGGGACAGGATGAATACCAAATACTCAGTTTTAAGCATGCTAGTGAGGTCTTTGTTTCAGAAATCTGACAAAAACTGAAGCTACCAAAACCATTTCAGAGGCAACAAAGCACCTATCAAGACAGTCCAACCCATTTCCAGGCCTTCTTCTTGTGGGCTGACACACGCAGACTGAAGGATCTGTCCAGTATCATCTCCGTGCCCGGGGCTGCCTAAAGCTTCCCATTAGCAAACGCTGCCTCCTGGAACTGAGGAACAAATGTTTTGAAATATGCCCTAGTGAAAAAAACAGAAAATGCATGGTTAGGAAGGAGTAAACTTAGAACACAATGCATGCATGTATGTAGCCAGGGTTTTAACAGAGAAGCATTAATGTTTCCATGCTCAGGCTGTTATTAGATCTCATAAATGGGTAGAGTTTTTCTTACAAGATTTTAGCACGCAGCAGGTCCATACACTTCAGCTTTCTAGACCCAGCAGTACTTCTTTCTTCAGTGTCCTCACCACTAACCTCTCAATGTGGTCAACATCAGTAACTTGACACTGTCAGAAGAGCCTGATGAACCGTCTGTATTTCATGCAATGCAAAGCTCCAGAGATAAACTGTTTTATGCACTGGAAAATAAACCTTTGGATGGCTGTAAAAGTGAGAAACACTTAAATGAGCCACAAGTGTGGCTATGCCACTGCCTGCAGAATTTTATAACTGGGACTTTTTGATGCAGTTGATGTTCACCATGTTTCTGGGATAAAAAGGGTTTTTTTTCCCCTATGTTGAAGAAAGCTTCACATATGGTACCAAAGGCCCAAAGACAGACGAGTCAATGGAGCAGGAAAATTGTGAAGAGAAGTCAGAACACATGCAGGAGATAAGCCCTTTATCTGTCTCCTCACAGAAACCTTAATGCAATACAGAGTCACTGTCAATGGCAGTAGTTTATACAAGACGTAGTGAATAAATACTAACACTTTGGATGAACTGTAATTCCTTTTATTAGTCTTCAAAAGTCCGAACATTCTTCTATAAATTAAGATGTGCTTTGTATATTTTGGATCTTAGTCCATCTTTTTTACAAAGAATCGAGTGACTCATAAATCCGTAAAATAAGCTGATCTTAAGTATCCAAAACTGAGTTTGAACTGTACCTTTGAGTTTATTGCACTCAAAATACTCAACCGTGTACTAAACATCTTATGTGTCCCAATGATACCCTTTATTTGCAAGTTATATTAGAAGCTGCTTCATCACTCTGACTACTACTTTCTGCACTGAACTTTCACTTTCTCTACTTTTTTTTAAAGAACATTTTGTTTTCTGCCCATATCACTGGTCTCTATAAATTTCTGTGCAAGGAGAACCTTGTCCTGTTCTCCCCACCAAAAAAAAAAAAAAAATAGAAAAAAGAAATCCAAAGTGAGAATAGGGGCAATTATGTTCATTGAGTTACTGATCTCTCTGCTGGTATACCTCCTGAAGCAAACATACGCTGATCATCTTCACAATCACGATATGTATTTCATAATTCGGGTAGAAGTTTTGGCAATCACTGAACACCAATCACACCTCCTCACATCTAAAAACATTGCAAGATCACAAAAGAGAAGGCTCCCCTCTCTTTGTGAAGTTGTGCCTGGCAAATTAATTAACAGATAGCTGCAGTCAGCTTTTGTACAAAAGCTGTAAACACACAGGAGATGCCGTCCAAAGGTTAACGGGGCAATAGAAAGTAAAAGCATTTCTGGACTGAGGAGCTGAGCCCAGAAATGGAAAAGAAAAGCAGCAAAAACAGCACACACATTTTATAGCATACACAGATTGTGCTGTGTATTTTCAGAACACACTCTGATTTATTGAGTCAAAGTGCAGAACGCAGCCCTTGTAATTATGCCCACAAAAGTAGTTGTTCATCCTGGCACACACGCATACATAAACCAGCTGAGAAGGTATGCCTGTCATCTGATCTTAACAGTTGAATGCCATATCTGTATTTGTGTGTTTATAGCGTACATTTGAAATTGTAGCCTATGTACGTCCTGGACAGCTCTACGTCATTTTGCTAGCTCAAGGAATATCACTTGCACGTTGTCAATGCCAGGATCTATCATCCTTTTATTTCTCCTTGCATTATCAGTCCTAAAATTTAATTACATTTCCTCTCCTTGCTTATTTTAAGTAGCTTCTTCCTTCCCCTTTGATAGCTTCTCTGCAGACTCTTCTTCCATGCACATGCTCTTCTTACTGACTTGATAAGTGTTACTTAAAACTTCCCTCTTCCTAAATTGTAAAAATTCTTAATCATTAAATGGGATATAAGCAGAAGTATTTTCCCACATTTTATTTCTTTCCTGAAACACCTCCTTTATAGCATTTCTGTACTTTGCATTAAAACCACACTTACTGCATTATATTTCAATGACTTTTCTGTTAGGTAAATTCCAGAACAAATGCTTCTGATACCACATGCACCCTCCCACACCATCTTTATCTATACCAGCATCCTTTCTTTTCACTGATTCCTGCAGTAGAGCTTGTATCCTTTGCTGCAAAACTAAATCTAACACCTCCCTACATTCTGATCAGATGTACCATTTCAAAGAGGATGTTATTTCACTGGTAGTTCATATGAACCTCTTGGAGATGTTCCATACACTACAAAAATTCCATTAGTACTTCATAATTTGTAAATGTCTACTTTTTTCTTTCCATACTTTAAAGTACATGCTTAAGTTTGCCCTTATCATTTATGGTCTTGTCCAGACTGAAGCAAATGTAGTACCAAATGTTTACCCAGGATATGTTCCTCCATTTCTGCCCCTCTCCCACACACCCTAGGTATCTGAGAGTAAAGAAATTTTGGAAAAAACATTTGGATAATTTTGGTTCATCACACACACACACAAAAAATAAATTACCCCCACCCCAAAGCAAAACAAAAAAGACCCTGCAAAGAGGTCCAAAAGCACAATATACTTGATAGGACTGTATCAGCTACAGCACATTTAACGACTGAAGAGGAAAGATGGGGAAGTAGGAGAAGAGAGGTTAAACTGCTTCACTATTAACGAACTCATATAGGGAGGGAATGGCAAGTGTCAGTATATAAAAGTAACGACTTATTTTCAGTGTATATGAAGGAATAGAACAGGGAGCAAAAACATTTCTCATTATTAGAGCTTATTGGAATTTCTTTTCTTTAAAATCACATGACTTTTCAGTGGAAAATTACTTTTTTGCCCAGTTGCATGCATTTCTGTGGAAATGCTACTGAATTTTCATCAGGAAAAGAAGGAAAAGAATTAAGTACTTTGGTTTGGGTTGACCTGAGAAGAGATGTTCTGGTTTGTAGAACTGAGAGTAAACAATCGGTTTGATATTAACCTGCTTCTTGCGGTCCAACATCTCAGAGATGATGTATCTAGTCACACAGACAAGGCCCTGGTGCATCACAGGAGTTGTAAGTATAAACATAACAGCAGAAGTAGTCGCTTCAAAGGACCCAGTCCATGAAGAATGATGGGATAAATCATTAAAATTTCTGCTTCCAGGAGGCATTGTGCTACTGCTAGCAGATGCATTATAGTGTCACATCAACTGCATTTTTTTTTCACGTTCCAAGCAAAATTTTTTTCGGAACTTCCTCTTTTCATCTGAAGTTTGGGACAAAACCATATGTTAACATACTTGAATTTCCTGTGAAACAGAAATTCTGACATTTTTTCTCCCCTGTAGAGATTACCAGTAAGGAGGAACAGAACAAGCACTAATTACTGGCTGAGTGAATAAGTTTCATCTATCAACCAACTGGCATTGAGGTCCAAGTGTATATGTTTCCACACAAATAGGACCATGACATGGTCATATTATGTCACAATGGATTACACAAAATAACTTTAAAAGAAATATAAAATTTTCTGAAGGACAATACTCTGCTACAGACTGGATGGTACGGGCCTCTTTCACATAGCATACTCTTCCTTCTAGAAAGGTTTTAAATTGATAGAAACACTCATACTCCAGCATCCTGAACATACAGGCACAGAGAAACTGTGAATGTAAACATGAACTTTGGAAAAAGATTAATTTCTCATACCCTATTCACATAAACCTATTCACACAAATTTACACCCTCCATAACTTTGATCTATGCTACATCACAGGAATTCACAGTAAAAATCTCTCAATTTTTTTGTTACAGACACTTTGCCACATGCTAATTTCAAGTATCTCAGAAGTGTTCTGAAATTATTATTTTTACATCCACTAAATACACTTTTCAGCTCTAGAGAACTGTTATTAAAAAAAAATTCAGTAATTTGGGTATCTGTTGAATTACACTGAAGATGCAGATAGCTAACCTGATCTATGGTTTCTCTAGGCTGTGTCATATGGCAGAAATCAGTTTTTGATCAATGCTTTTTCTCCTTTCTGGGAAACACGGAGTTCCTTCTTTCTCCTGCTTTACTCTACCATGTTCTTGTGTCACGCTGACCTTACACCAAGCTCAGAACTGCATAAAATGCTCCTTCAAGTACAGAGAAACTGGTTTGTACAAAGTCCACAGATATTCTTTACGTGAGTGTTGAGTACAATGGCTCTGCACCCCTCTCGTAATGGTTTAGATCTTAGCTTGAACAGTGTTTAAAGAGTTGCTTTCTTTTCTTGAGCTTAGAGTGGGTGCCAATCTTCATACGCATACAGGCACATGTCTAACTCTTTGTTGAGTGTCTTACTGTGAGAATCTATTGTTTTTTGTCTATTTGTTTTTGTTCCCTCAAATGGTCATTTTTCAAGTTCAAGGTAGCAAGTTATGGGGTTTCTATGGAAATTTTTCTTCAGCACTCCAGAAAACAACACATTTTGTTGTAGTTAACCACTATATACACTCGATATGGTACATTGAATTTCAGGTGCTACGCTCAAGGACATCTGCTGAGAGTAAAGCACTTATCTTTCCTTCACCTTATTATCCAGTGGAAAGAAAGTCTTGCTATTGCAAATGGTAAGTATCTAAAACAAGGTAGAATTGGATCACTCGTTGTTTACGTGTTTTCTAGTGATATAAAACACTGACTGTGGTACAAGGTCTCCAGAAGCCCATACATATCTAAATACTAGAGTGTGGGTTTGCAGTGCTTAAAAAATACTTGACTCGGAATTCACATGCTTTTGTGAAATTTCATTCTAATTGTAATGTTTTTTCCAGTATAACGTAGTGCTGGGTTTTTAAAATGTAGTTGGTAGAAAATCTGCATTGACCATTTGACAATACCTTTTG